CAAAGCAACTGAAGTAAGGGCAGCTTACAGAGGGCTGGATGGTGAACACTTTTAAATTCAAGACTGGAAGTTTTCATTTGATTTGACAGTCAAATGGAAACCATTGGAGAAGTATGAGGTAAGTACTAATGTTGCTGAAAAATTATGCTTAGGAACTTAGCTTTTTGCTGTTGCATGTAAGGTCAAAGTGACAAAGTCAACCCCACAGGGGTTGGCAAAAAGGGTATTGAAGCATTCTAGTCATAATGGCAGCAGGAAGCAAGGTAAGGTAAATTTGGAAAAAATTGGGAGGGCTAATTGACAGAGTAGGAGTGGAGCATCAAAGAAGAAAACACTGTGTCAATTCCTCCAGAATTCCCAGGATGGGAAAAGAAAAATTGGAATATTATTTTTCCTATTGCCACTTCCAAATCTAACATTCTTTCCTCTCGTCAATCGCTCCCTCTTTTGAGTCAATGTCATTTGATAATATTACTCAAATACTATCAAAGTTCTTATCTTTCACCTCCCTTGGGGATTTTAGCACCTCGTTCACAATTTTTCTCATTCTCCCTTTCCTTGTCATCATTTTCTGCAGTTCAATATTCATTCCCTCACTCAAACCTTGATTCAAAAACTAGAGACACAGAAACAAGCAAGACTCAAGAAGCTTCTGGTCCATTAGGGGAAGAAAACAGGAAAACAAGTAATTGTGATAAATGCTATAATATTCATTCATCCACTCATTTCATTCATTCATTCAACAAATGTTAATTGAATGCCTACTATAGGTACTAGGTTGGGCAATGGGTTCACAGTATTGAACAGGAGATCTATTCTTTCCCCTATGCCTGTCCTAACTCTCTAACATCACAGTTTCTTTATCTTTTCAACAATAGTGATGTCCACCTGCACTCTACTTTATTCCTAATCATAGACACACTTTGGGGCCTGATAAAGAAGCACTTGGAATTGCTCTTCTTCTAAGATCCTGAACTCTGAACTACTTTCTCCATCTACAATTTTCTATCTTTCCAATTCCTATTGCATTTCCTGTTTATTCTTACTGTAACCTCTATTCCCTAGTTGTTTTCCCCCTATTTTTAAAGTACACCATTGTATAAATATTTTTTCTTTTGAGACAGGGTCTCAGTCTCTCGCCCAGGCTAGAGATCAGTGGCATGATCATGGTTCACTACAGCTTTGACCTCCTGGGTTCAAGCAGTCCTCTCATCTCCACTTCCCAAGTTGCTGGGACTATAGGCCACCACATCCAGCTAATTTAAAAATTTTTTGGGGTACACATGGGGGTCTCACTTTGTTGCCCAGGCTAGACTCGAACTCCTGGGCTCAAGTGATCCTCCCACCTTGGCCTCCCAAAATGCTGGGATTACAGGTGTGAGCCATCATGCCCAGGTCAGCCTATCTTTTGACTTCATATGCTTCATTACTCATTCTGGAGAATATAATTAGTCATTTTGAAAACTTACTTTAGCACCCTAGTTCCCTCACACCTTTGCCATTTTTGCCTTGTCAGTCCTTAAGCCCTTGGATGAACCACACCATCAGAGTTTTCTCTCTGTTCTGCTGGAGGAAGCTGAGAAATCAAGTGAATTGTTTCCATTAGAGTTTATGCTTATAACTCCAATTCAACAAATTCTACAAACACTAATTGAGTGATTAATATGGGCCACACACTCTCTACAGCTTGGCCATCTTTCACTTTACCTCCAAGTGATGAAGAATTACGTTTCATACAGCAGCTAGTCTAATTTTTGAAAAATACAAATATAATGAGAGGACATTCTTGATATAAAAAATTAAACATGGCCAGTCACGGTGGCTCATGCCTGTAATCCAGCACTTTGGGAGGCCGAGGTGGGCAGATCACTTGAGGTCAGGAGTTTGAGACCAGCCTCGCCAACATGATGAAACCTTGTCTCTACTAAAAATACAAAGATTAGCTGGGCGTGGTGGCAGGCACCTGTAATCTCAGCTACTCAGGAGGCTGAGGCAGGAGAATCACATGAACCTGGGAGGCAGAGGTTGCAGTGAGCTGAGATCGCACTACTGCACTCCAGCCTGGGCAACAGAGTGAGACACAGTATCAAATAAATAAATAAATAAATAAATAAATAAATAAATAAATAAAGGTCTATCAAATAAAAGTGAAAAATCTCCCTGTTTCCATCTCAACTTCCACCCCAGAGGTAACTGCTGATTAAGTTTGTTGTGTATCTTTCTGGATCAAATTTTTCTGCCTCATACTGGACAGAACTGGTTGAAGCTACGTGTAATGAGTACCTTTCTTTACCTCTTTTCTCTACCTGAAAATGTCCTCATCATATTTCTTCTCCCCTTCCAGCTTAATTTATCCCTCTAAGCACTAAATCCTCTTTTGTTGCTTTAAGGGTCATGTATCACCAATGAGCTCTTTTCTTACATCTTCAGTCCCTGAATTCCTGCTGATTCAGTTCCTGTAGGTTATAAGTTACAAGTTGCCCATCTATCCCTCCCCTTCTCAGCATTGTCCAACTTATCCACATACTGGCCACCTATACATACTTCTTGCAATCCAGAATCTGATCCTACTGCTCTCCTGAAATTGCTCTCTTAAAGGTAGAGAGACCTCTAGATTACCATATCCAAAAGCCTTTTCTCTGTTATCTTTTTCAAACTTCTTAGAAGCAACTGACAATTGATTCTACTAAAGAATCTGCAGCTAGTTATCAGGGGCTACAGTTCCAGTAAAAAATATATATATTTTAAAAGTAATTTAAAAATAAGTTTATTGACCTTCATATACTATACAATTCCCTCATTTAAAGTGTACAATTCAATGGCTTTTAGCATATTCAAAGAGTTGTGCACACAACATCACAATGAATTTTAGAATATTTTCATTGTCCTCAAAAGAAACCCTGAACCCATTACCAGTCACTATCTATTCCCACCACTCTTCAACCCCTAGCCCCTGGCAATCACTAATATACTTTCTGTCTCTATGAATTTGTCTAATTTTGACCTTTCATATCAGTGGAATCATATAATGCTTTCTTTTGTGACTGTCTTGAAGGTTCATTTGTGTTATAGCATGTATCGGTACTTCATTCCTTTTTATGGTTGAATAATATCCAATTGCATGGATAGACCACATTTTATCCATTTAACGGTTGATGTTATTTCCACTTTTTGGCTGATATTAATAATGCCACTATAGTATACTACTACAGATATACATGTACAGGTTTTGTGTAGATACATTTTCAATTCTCTTGGGGATATATACCTAGGAGTAGAATTGCTGGGTCATGTGGCAACTCTATGTTTAACCATTTGAGGAACAGCTAGACTGTTTTCCACAGTGGCCACACCATTTTACATCCCCATCAGCAATATATGAAGGTTCCAATTTCTCCACATCTTCACCAACACTTGTTATTTTTTGTTTTGTTTCATTTTAAATTAATTATAACCATCCTAGTGGGTGTGAAGTAGTATCTCACTGTGGTTTTGATTTGCAGTTTTCTGATTAGTAATAAAGTTGAATATCTTTTCACGTGCTTATTGGATATTTGTATATCTTCTTTGAAACAATATCTATTTCAACCCTTTGCCCATTTTAAACTGGGTTATCTTTTAAAATGGAGCTGTAAGAGTTCTTATTCTAAATATGTCTCTTATCAGACACATGATTTGCAAATATCTACTCCCATTCTGTGGATTATCTTTGCACTCTCTTGATAGTGTCCTTTGCAGCACAAAGTTTTAAATTTTGATGAAATTCAGTTTATCTATTTCTTCTTTTTTTGCTTGTTTTTGGTGTCATATCCAAGAGACCACTTCCTATTCCAACATCATGAAAATTTACATCTATGTTTTCATCTAAGAGTTTTACAGTTTTAGCTCTTACATTTAAGTCTTTGATCTATTTTTAAATTAATTTTTATGTATGGTGTGAGGTAAGGGTCCAACTTTATTCTTTTATATATTGATACATCCAGTTGTCCTATCATCATTTGTTGAAAAGACTGTCCTCTCCCCTATTGAATGGTCTTGGCCCCTTTGTGTAAAATCAATTGACTATAAATGTGGGGGTTAATTTCTGGACTCTGAACTCTGTTCCATTAATCTATATGTCTGTCCTCATGCCAGCATGACACAGCTTTGATTACTGTAGTTTTGTAGTAAGTTTTAAAGTTGAGAAGTTTGAGTTTTCTAACTTTGTCCTTCTGTTTCAAGATTGCTTTTGCTATTCTGGGTCAGATTTCTGGATACATTTTAGGATTAGATATGTCAATTTGTGAAGAGAAGTCAGCTGTGATTTACAGCTACATTTGGACCATGCTAAACTTGTCATCTTACCTCTTCTATTCCCTATTTCTGTTAATGATGTCCATCTTTTCAGTTACCCATGTTCAAAACTGAGGAATTTGAAAGTCACCCTTTCAGATTCCTCCCTTTTCCTGTTCCTCTCCAATTACCAGTCTTCCACCAATCTCTCTCCTATTCCTTCCTCTCCACTCCCACTGCAGTACTCTAATCTAGCCCTTATGACCACCTTCATGGATTATACCAATAGCTTCCTAATCAGTTTCCCTGCCTCAAGTCTCTTCCCTCTCCAATCCTTCATACACGTAACCATCAAATTAATTTTCCTTAGGGAAATAGTTTTGATAAAGTTACTTCTTAATTCAAAAACCTTTTACATCCCTCCATTGTCTTTAGAGACACTTAATATTCTTAGGCTGTGATCCAAAGTGCTTTGTAATCTGACTATGGCCTACCTTTAAAATCTTATTTTCCAATAACAACTTAACCTATATTATTCTATAGGCAAACTGAACTCTCCATTATTCACCTCACTTACCTTGTATTTTCTTGCAAGTACGTCTTTTGTCATGTACTTACTTGTGCCTGAAAGTTACCTTTCTACATGTCTACATCATAGCCATTCTTTAAAGGCGAGCTTAAATTTTATCTACTCCATGAATGAGAATGATAATAATGATGACAACAGCCAACATTTATTGAGCACTTTATTCAGAATAGAGCACTGTTCTATGTATTTCACATGTATTAGCTCATTTGACCCTCATAATAATTCATAACAGGTATTATTTTTAATCCTATTTTACAGACAGGGAAACTACCATACAGAGAGGTTAAGAAATCTGTACAAAATCACAGAGCTATTAAGTGGCAGAGCTGGTTTTTGAACCCAGGCATTCAGGCACCAGAGTTTTTGCTCTAAACCACTACAATATATCTGCTTCCATGACTTACTGAGCTACTATGCATCAGATACTATGTCAGTCACTTTACCCACATTATTTCAGTATAACAGCAGACGCTGTTGCCAAAACTTTACTGGGAAGAGTGTTAACCTTCCCAAGCAAGCTTTGATCTTACGATTCCCTCATTCTAAAACCTTCAGTGGCTCCCAAAATGTTTACAGAGTATGGTACAAATTTTCATAGCTAAGAATTCCAGCTCTTCCATGATGTGGTTCCCACCCACGTTTCCAATCTTCTTTGCAACTTCTCCTTCATGCACTTTACAGTCCAGCCAAACTAAAACCACTGCTATTCTTTGTGCATAGCTCAGCCTCTCCCAACTTTGATCTTGCTGTACCCTGTGTGTAGAACATCCTTCCCTACAATCTCTGTATATTCAAACTTGACCCAGATTTTATAAACACTCATATACATTCACACACTTTGTAAAGACAGAGTAATTAGCTACCCTTTAGAAACCAGATCAAATGTTACCTCCTCAATTACGCCTTTTTCTGAAGTATTTTCTCTCTTTGAATACCCACAGCATTCTATCTCTTATGGTTCTTACAATTTTCTATGTTTTATTTATTTAAATGTGTGTGAATATGAAAATCAATCTCTATTTATTTATCTAACATTTTAAAATTTCCACTAACTTCCTTGAGGGTAGAATCAATACTTTATACATAGTAAGCATTCAATAAATAGTCATTAAATGAATAAATGAATGAAATGTCACTCCAGATTGCTTTTGGGAAAGTTTCCCTAACCACTGTAACAGTACTGTTTGCTACACCGCAAATCATTAATTTTTCATCTTGTGAAAGTATAAAATCTCTTATCCAGAAAGGAGGGGGAGAACAGGCATTTCTTTACACTACATTAGTAACTTCCCTATAAACATACAAGATATTCATTTAAAATGCAGTTTTCTTGATGAGAAACCTGATCCTTCAGTATTCAGTAGTCTAGTTTTCAGACAAGGCTATGCAAATGAGGAAGAGAAGCTGTGGCAGCTGCTTCCACAGGCCTGGATTTGGGGCAGGGGGTTCATGCCTGAGGAGAATAAAAGCCAGGGTGGTGACATTAATGATGCTTTTGGATAAAATAAAAGCCCAAGAACAAAATCATAGAGTTATTCTCTTTTCTTTGATTCCATCAGGGTAGACCATAGCTTCTACTGTGTGTCTTTGAGATCTTTCACTGGTGCTTCTTTACCTCTAATATCAGGGGCTGAACATGTTTTTTTTTTTTTGGTTGTTGTTGTTATTTAGATAATCAATATCCTAAAAGATTCATCTCAGGGCAATGGGATACCAGAGCAATGGCGTTATAGTCACCCTTAACCAATACTGGTGGTGGAGTGTGGTAACCCTAACTTGTCCCTCTAGCAAGACCTCTGACGGGTTCATGCTCCCAGAAGGTTTAGTCTCCTGACTTTCTACCTTGTACACCAGTCTAAACCAGCCTTGTCATCTTCATGCTTTCCAACAGACACTCTCAGCACCCTCTAGAGACTCCCTCAATAGAGATTAAAGAAATGAGAAATTCAAAGTTGAAAAACCAAGAAGGGTAGGATGCAGAGGGATAGAAGAGAAAAATATTTGCTACTAACGCTTTGAATTATCAATGTCAGCCTGAGAAAAGTTATTGCCAGCAGCAAAACCCCTTTCTAAGACATAAATTTTAAACCTATTGCATTTGATGGGATTGAGAGGCAGACTGTGTTAAGGACCCAAAGTATTACTAGTCAGTCCCAAATGGGAGCCGTTCAACTTTCCATAGGTATGTTTTCTCTAAATTCTCTCAATCCTATTTGAGCTCAGGTACTGCTGACTCATTCTGCAACAACTCAACCTGCCAGGGGATGCAGCATATGGTAAATGCCTCAGTGACTTCTGAATATCTATTACAAATGGTTCAGGGATGCAGGGATTTGGGAGGAGGGAGGTTGCCTTGCAGTGAGCATGATGTGTCATTTTGTTGGAGAACATGGGTGCCTCCTGGACATATTCAGAAGACATTTAATTTTCTCTAAGTTTCTTTTTCTGCTTTTAGCATCAAACAAGCAGCACTGGTTCCATGAACTTCCAAAAACATGAAACAAAAAAAACACCAAATCCATAAAATAAAAGACAAACCTTAAGCTCCCCAACCAACCAACCAACCAACCAACCAACCAACCAACCAGCAAACAACCTCATATCTCTTTTGCTGTTTCAATTTTTGTGACGTAATTTCTTAACATTTTAAAGGGGCATCTTTTCTCTCACTGCTGAGTCTATTATATAGAAACATAGATTCTAACGGGCATCTCTTTCTAACATGCCTTGTAGTAGGTAATTCTACTCATCAATTACGTGTCACCTTGGCAACAGAAAGGGCTGCATACTATTTTTAGCATATTCTTACTTATCTCTCACTATACCTCTTAGAAGTAAACCATTCTCATTCACACAACGGAAAGTGAGTCATCCAGAATTAAAGTCATCCAGTGTTTGCATGGCACCTTACCAGTGGCCTGAAGTGAATCGTCAGAGCTAGAATTAGAACACTAATTCTAATTCGAATGCAATGCTCTTGTTACTAAATCCCAATGGTCTTTGGCTCTCTTCATTCTGAGAGGCCAGATGACCTAGCAAGCAGAGTGTACATTATCTGGGCAGGGGGTAGGGTGGGAAGAGAGGTAGGCTGGTTTGGAGAGCTAAGTTAAAAAACAAAAAATGGAAGAAGACCTAAAGAATATGAATCCTAAGGCTATCTGTGCTATTTGATCTGGGGTAGGTCATTTAACTGCTCTGTAACCACCAGGAGTGCTCATAGTGTAGAGCATTCTGCTCTGTGTCACACCATTTGACCATATGTCTCATCTCTCCCCCTTTGCAACCCCTACAGCACTCAGTTCAGGGAGAATGCTGGATTTGGAGTCAGATAAGCTTGGATCCAGTGTTTGCATGGCAACTTGGACAAATCATTTCTCTGAACCTCAGTTTCCTTCTCTGTAAAACAATAATATTATCTCCCTCACAGGGTTGTTGTGAGGATTAAATGATATAACATTTGTGAAAGTCTTCTCCCAGCATCAGGCATATAGTAAGCACTCCATAACATTGAATGAATAAATGAATGGCCTCAAGTCAGGCCCTTGGAGTGCTATGTTAATTATTTCAGTCCACTAGGATACTGGTGAGTTCAGCACAGCACACCAGAGCAGTGACTTCCTGAATAGTATTCTAATGGTCCCCAAAGGCAGAGAGAAATTTCATCGTGTCACTGCTGGGTTATACCTGTTCTGGGAATACAGTAATTCATTTTCCAGTGCTGCCAATCTATTACCTTTCACCAAACACAAAATTCACTTTAAGAAGGGACAGAAATACAAGTGCCTTTCTGTTATATAGATGTTGGGAGAATATATTATTAAAATTGAAACCGACTTCTCTGATTTCTTAGGCAAAAAATCAGATTGGAAGCCAAACAGCTATTTGGCCTTTGTAGACCCTGGATAGCAATGCCATTGGGGGAAAGGGGAGTGTTGGAGTCATTCCAAACTATAGTTACATTTGTGTGTATATTTACTGCTTGTGCTTATGCTCTCTGCACTTAGTTTTTACTCTCTAAGCCTTGAAGAATTCACAATTTACCTAGAGCACAGTTTAATACATATGGGTGGGAATACAGGCCTATATCTCTGTTTCTCATTTCCTAATCATATTTTCTACCTTCCTTATATAACTGATACCTCTTCTTTTCCAATTCAATTGCTCACTTTTTGAACTTAGGTGAACAATAGTGATTTGTTAACAATAAACATGCCCCTAGCCCTTGCCTCAGTCTTCTTTACCCCTGAGGGCCTTCCTAAGATTCAAAGCCTGAAATCCTGCCATATAGTTAGCACCTGGCGCAGCTCATCAAAATATAATATCCTTTCCCAGATGATTGGAAATCTCTGCAATGCCGTCATACAATGAGGTGTGCAAGAAAGAGTTTGGGGATTGATTTTCATCATTAACTTGATATTGCATGGTTTTTGTGGGACTTAAAAAGAAACGCATTTTTATTACTTTTAAGTACTGCACATAGAATAACTCCAACTCATCATATTTTAACAGTTATTTTTCTGGGGTAGGATGTATGCTAAACATGCCTATGTTAGAGTGTCTGGTGGATCATTCAGGATCAGTGTCCTGTTGCTTGATGAAATACAGATCACGTCAATGAAATCCAGATGGGGAAACTGGATCTCTGGCAATGGCTGCCAGATCTTCTCCATATGAAATCTCTCTAGTCTGTATGCAAATTCAAAACTCCATATCCTGGAAATCCCAAACCAATCAAGTGGCGCTCCGCTTCTTAGTTACTGGACTAAACACAGGGAAGCGATTCATTCTTCCCTGAGGAAATAAGCATTTCTTACATACATCTATCTTGGCACAAAAAGGGCTGGCTAAGCAAATTAATAGTGTAAACAGGACTGCACTGGGAAATGTTTGTCCTACTTAGGAGAATAAACTTTTTATGCACTTTGTGCATATACACTTACATACAAATAATTGATATGCTAATTACAAATGATTCTTAAAGCCCCTTCCCTGAGGTGCTGTACTATGCTGTTAGTCTAGTTTGAATTACTAGCATGTCCAGGGCTTGAAAGTAATAAAAATGCATTTAAAAATATCCCATGATTCAGACTGGCTTTCCTCTAATTAGGCTGAGTTAGTGAGGCTTGCCTGTATTTAAATAAGATAGATATTTTTCCACTTTACCCCTAACATATTTAACATGGTCTCCCTCCCCTCTCTATTCCCCCATCCCCCTCAACAGGGAGCTGGCACACACAAACCCCTTAGCTTCTGGCTCACTATGCAATGGCACTTGCATCACCTCCAGGCAAACACATTGCTTTTAGCCCCTGGCACACACACATGCCCTTTTGCTTATTAACTTGTTAGCTGGTTATTTGATATAGCTTTTTTGAGCAGTTCTTTCCTTTAGTCCTTCTTTTTTTTTTTTTTTTTTTTTTTTTGATGAAGTCCTGCTCTGTCACCTAGGCTGGAGTGTAGTGGCTTGATCTTGGCTCACTGTGACCTCTGCCTCCTGGGTTCAAGTGATTCAATCTGGCTCAGCCTCCCAAGTAGCTGGGACTACAGGCACGCGCCACCATGCCCAGCTAATTTTTGTATTTTTAGTCGAGACAGGGTTTCGCCAGGTTGGCCAGGCTGGTCTTGAAATCCTGACTTCAAGTGATCTGCCCGCCTTGGCCTCCCAAAATGCTGGGATTACTGGTGTGAGCCACCGTGCCCAGTCCTTCAGCTCTTCTTTAAGTACCAATGGACATGGCTCTTTTCTGGTAGTACAATGGGTTAACAGTGCACACAGAGCAAAGTCCAGCCAACTTAACATCAGGCTTTTTCATCAGGTGCTGGATATCGGGTTTAACTAAATCTCTGTATAGTCCTTGTCAACACGTCACAACGAGGCAGCTCATCAGTCCTGGCAGCTGCTAGGTGTATGGCAATGTCAGGCACAGTCATTCAAAGCCATAACATGTTGAAGCAAAACCTAAACAGTAGTTTTTCTAGGCTACACTGAAGGGACAGAGCAGTGACTAAAGAATGTGGGAGAGACAGGATTAGGGCAGAGGTTGGTGGGGTGCATGGTGGAGAGCAGCTGAGAGGAATAATATGAATTTTGATGTTAGAATATCCTATGAAGCCCAGATTATAGTCAAGTCTGGGTTTCTTTTCAGGGCAGAGTGATGTTAAAGGGTGTAATTTTCAAGATTTCCATTTAGGAGCAAGGTCTTCCTATCTCTGGAGAGTTTCAGAGCATGTTTTTAGCATCAGAACTTATTCAACTGCTGCCAAAGAATCAGGTCACTTGCTCCAGGAGGCAGGGATCAGTCAGCATAACAAGAGACCAGAGAAGAGGCACATCAGAGAAACAGCACAAACTCACAGAATTCCAGAAGACTGTCTTCCTTGATACAAATGAAACAATATACCTATGAAGACTTGTTTGCTCAAGGTGGGAGGGACTGTCATGATGGCAGGGCT